ACCTGCAGATAATACTTAAGTGTCTGTTTTCAATGTGTGCCATCACTTAAGCCTCATTTCCCTCTTAGAATTAGTGTAGAAGTGGAGAGCTTTCTGCATTTTTCTAGTAGTTATTCTGCTTCACGTTTTGAACCTCAGCTATCATGTGAAGTTTTGAATTCAGGAAGAGAGATAGCACACTGTTGCAGAAGACTGCGTAGGAGGTTACCTAGGAGTCATGGGAACTTATTTTACTTTAAAGCTGAAAATTCTCCACAGCAAATTTTCCGTTTGCTTAAGACTTTACTCCCTGTGGAAACCTCAGAAAGAAGAGTTCGAGTGCAGTCTCCGGCCCTGTAACCTAGATGGGCTAGTCGGCCCTTTGAGATAGTTTTATTCCCTAAGAAGTAAAAATAGAGCAACAGGAACAACAAAATATACTATTGCTGATTGCCCCGAGGATGCAGGAGACACTGAAGTACGAAGTGTGGATCGCGGCCTGTGTGAGAAGGGCTGCTATAAGGACTGAGGGGAGGCCAGCCCGGCGGATGCTGCAGTGCCTCCCCACGGCCCTGTGCAGCACAGTGGAGAACCTAGCGAGGACCTGCTTCCTGGGCTTGATTTCCTGCTTGGCCATGACTGGTGTATGGTCTTGGCAAAGGCTTCCCAGGACTCCAGCGGTGTGATCCAGCACATTGGAGAAAAACTCAGTTAGTCTAAGGGCAGGAGCAGAGCTGGATCTCAAGGCAGGCCACCTCACTTTCCAGCCAGCATCTGCTTATTGTATCTCTTCCCTTAAAGTCAAATAGTGCAGGGGATACTGGATGGAGTTTGGGTTGTGAGAGACATGCACGAAGACAGAAAGCCTCTGACCTATGTTTGAAGAACTGAGGCAAAATCTGAATGGTATAAAAATCTAATGTGAGATGATTTTCCCTTTAGATTTAAATTTTTTCTATAATGTAAGTTTCCATCAAATGTTACACAAAGACTGCAAGATTTTGGGAAACTTTGTAGTTCATAGTCATTGAGACTTCAGCCACAGTCACAGAGAGCATAATCTTAGTTCAGCTTGCCCAAATACACATTTTTGTGTATATGTTGTATGCCCAGTGTACAGCTAACTCCGAAACTGAGAAGCAGTGTGCATGCAGTACATGCAGAGAAACTACAAATAATATCTTCAGGTCACTGTCAGAATTTGTGAAACAAATGTATTGTGTAGTGGAAGGAATAAAATGTTTTCCATGGCAACCATGGCAACCCTGGTGTCTAGCGTATTAGCTGTAATTCAGGGAGCATCTTCAACTGCAAGGAAATAGTTCTTAGCAATTATCACCAAGGGAGTGGCCCTCCACTCTAAGAGCAGAAGTTGAAACTCTTGGATTCAGAACATTCTTAACTGATGTGTTAATGAATGCTAACAGCGACTATTTCATTTTGGTTAATTTTCAGAGGATTAATAAGCTAAAGTTTTTGAAACGAGCAAAATAAAGATGTGATTTTCTTTAGACAATTTTGAAGAAATCATTTAAGCACTAAATATCTTTATTTTTGTTTTACTTTGTTTTGGTTTGGTGACGTTTGAGTTTGGATGTTTTATTAGGGATTTTACTTTTTGCAAGGGAAATAGCTCACTGTTTTACTTTCTTTTTTCTACCCTTACTATACACTTTTATTACATGATGATTGTTAAGGATAAAGGAAAAAATTTAGAGCATGACTAGGGATTCCAATTGTGGACTGCTTTGCTTAAAAGTAAAATGGCTTAAGTTATGAAGATTTCAAAAATGGTAATATACAAATGAAACTCCTATGTTACACCACAAACCCTCCAGTTCTTCTATATATTTTTTTATTTCTTGCTGTATATATTCTTTTGTAGTAAATCATATATGAGTAAATTTATATAAGAAAGGCTTATTGGAAGTAAATGTGTTAATGTAGAAAAAACAGAAATACATAATCAATTATATTTTACTCAGAAAAAGTCATCTTATAAATTTATTTTTATCCTATTTTAATATTGTTGAAACAATGCAGTTTCAACCCCTCAAAAATGAAGAAACATCTAAAATGAGTGGCAGAAGAAATTGAGCAGAAATGATGGGTGGTTTTAGCATAATTTAGGTTTTTTAGAAATGTAAGATCTCTCCCTTCCTGTTGGGTTTAAGAAATTAGGAGGATGTGAAGGCACCTGAGAATGGTGAACATATCAGAGACAACAGAGCTGACAATAAATACATACTTCTGAAACAGGTGCATCAGAAGCCTGCTCCAGTGTCTCCACTGGATAATGTATTTTGGGGGGATTTTTATTTGTTTGACCTTTACTTGTTTTCTGAAGCCTTAGAAAAAAAAATTTTTTCTATTACAAAGAAAACTCAGTAGCTGGATTTGCCCAAGCTGTGTTTGAATCCTGCCTGCCAAATATTTTCAGCCTGATGAATCTGAGTTTCTCCGGCCATGTAGATGGGACAGTGCTATTCACTTCACAGCGTATTGTATATGGACTGACAGAGGCTGAGACGCAGAGTCATATGAATTCCTGTGTGTGATGGTTTAAGCACAGCTGATGTTCGAGTCTCCCTCGTGGAAAAGGTTAGAGCAGTACACTACAATGGCAAAGTACTTTGCACTGGCAAAGTACTGACCCATCACCCTCTAGTGATGGTGCAGGGACCTAGGGTCTTTCCTTGCTGACGTTCCACCATCACTTAGAACATGCTGTCAAGTGGGAAGGCAAGTGGGGAAGAGGCGTGCTGGCTTGAAGTGCAACAGCTTATATCCCCAATAACATTTACACTGAAAGAACTTAGAGTCTTATGGTCATAACTGTACTAAGGAAAGCTTAAAAATAGCCATGTACCACTATTACTATGGAAAGAAGAGACTATCAGAATATCAGCAGTATCTGCCACTGTATGCAAAACACTTAATAAAATACGTTTCACAGTAGGTCTTAATCATATTTACTTTTCTTTTTCATTTTTTTCCCTGAATTTAAATCTCCTGGAGAGTGGTAAACAATAACCCCTCCTCCCCTTACATGCCCCCCCCCCCCCCCCGCAAACCAAACCAAACCAAACATAAAGCTACTATGGATTAACTGTTTACTGGGAGAAAACCAGGTAGTCTTTGTAAAAATGCACATATGTGTATCTTGACTAGGCTGTGTCTCCTGTGTCTGAATATCCATCCTGTAGAATAAGGGACCCTACAGAGAGGGCTAGAGTTGTGAAAGGCGTTCAATTATCAAGTTGAGGTCCAGGTGACTTCTCCTCCAATGGATGTTGGGAAAGTAGACTTGGAACATCATTAAAGTGGTTCTTAGCAAAATAAGTTGAAAGAAAAAGGAATTCATTAATTAGTCTTCTAATTTAAAATTCAACAAACTCTAACCTGCTTCCCTGAGCAAAATACAGGAGCTGATTTTATGCCTCCTTGACTGATGCTCCCAACAGCCTGCAGGGCTGCCCCACCCAGGGATTGCAGGATCTCTGAACTCTGCTGTCAGGAACAGTTTTACTTTCTTCCCCTGTGAAATGGAAGCAGAAAACTTGAGTCATAAATCTATAATTAGTAAGAGATAATATCTATTTTCTGTCAAATTCAAATATGAGTAATAGTTAAATACTGGGACTGAAATACTTCTTAAAATTAATAATTATCCTGCCTGTCAAATGTAAGGTCATGAGTTTGAACCTGAGTACCAAACAAAAAAATAATAATAATTCTTACTAGTGCACACCAGTTGTTAAATTCATGGCATTCACACTGATATTTGCATGCATACAGATACTGCTTTTTTCCTACCCTTCCTACAATCGTCTCTTGCCCTCTCCTACAGTACCTGTCGCTTTGCCCTACTCTACGTGGTTTTCTTGTACTTTCTACTCATCTTTATCTTTTTACAGTTCCCACACATGAAAGAAAAATGCAATGTTTTTCTTTCTATTTCTTGGTTATTTCACTTAACATAGTATCTCCAGAGCTCCTCCATTTTGCTGAAGATGTCATGATTCTGCCCTTCCTGTGGCTGGAGAATATTCCACTGTGTGTGTTTTAGTTCATTTATCTGTTGATGCTCTGCTTTGCTGTTTCTGCAGCTTGAATTCTGGCATAAAATGAGGCTTCTGTGTGTCAAGAGCCTAGACAACACAAGTGGATCCCACAGTGTCAGCTTCCCCCGGAGCCTGAGGTTTTGTGTATCTGTTCCCTCTGCTTTGCTTGATGTTTACCCAAATATCTCCTTTTCTCCCCTTAGATATAGCTATTCTTTCTTCACATTTCAGCTTCATAACCTTATCTTTCAGAGGCCTCCTACGCTCCTCCTAAGGCTATGTGTCCTCTCTGCTCCAGTTGTCACTTTGTTTACCACTTGTTGAGGATTCTTTCCTGTCACATTGTACAAAATGGTTTGTACCTTGCTATCTCTTCAGTACCCACCTTGAGAATGAATGTTGAATCAATGAATTCTGTCCTTCAAAGACTCAATTACAGTCCTTTCATCTTTGTATCCGTGGTAGGTTAACCTGCTCATGGCAGGTTCATGATAGCCATTTGGAGAAAGATAAGATAAGGGAAAAGAGAAAGAGGAATAGGGAGAAAAGGAAGGGAAATCAGACAGAGAGGATATAAAGCTAGTTAGTGTTTATCTAGAGTGACATCTAAAGTTTAAATACAAGAAACAAAACCACTAGGCTCTCGTAAGTGTCCTAAATTTGAAACTCCATTAGATATTCGTAGGTGGAGACCGCAGTGACTGAGGGAGGCAGGCAGAAGTATGATGAAGACAGCATTACAGTTAATCTTAAGCCATAGGAGAGATGGGATGGGAGCTTAGTTATAAAAGGACCAGGATTTTTAGTATAGACAGGCGAAAGAGTGTGACATATTTCAGAGTAAGCATGTTATGGCTGAACACTGTTACATCCATCTTTTATGGTTGAAAGTTTCAGCTATATGGGACACTGCTATAACTTTCTCTCTGACTGTCTCTCTCTCTGATCCTGTTCCAGGAACTGGTGGTTGGTCCCCAGCAGACTCCAATGCTCAACAGTGGCTCCAGATGGACCTGGGCAACAGAGTAGAGATTACAGCGGTGGCCACGCAGGGAAGATACGGAAGCTCTGACTGGGTGACGAGTTATAGCCTGATGTTTAGTGACACAGGACGCAACTGGAAACAGTACAAGCAAGAAGACAGCATCTGGGTAGGACAATTTTTCTCTTCTGATGAATAAAACTGAGATGCCCTAATGGTAACCAGTGAATGATCTTGTCATTTTCCTGTACCCAGATTGTTGGTAGCTTAGTAACAGCTGAGTGCTCATTCAGAAGTAATTAGATCAAGGGTAAACCCTGTCTCCAAAGTGCTCTTGCTCTTGAGGGAATGAGGATGTCTGCTGTAAAGAGTTGAACCAGCTTTTCAATATTTGGCAACTTGCATAATTCGCTGAATCCCAGTTCCTTTATCTGTAACAACAGAGAAACATACTGCTGAAGTCTGACTGTCAATGAGATTGTATAAATTTACTGAATTTTGATCTACTGTGTTGATTTTTTTTATGTACCAAGTATTTTGCATACCATGTAAACAGCCCAATACCTAGGCTCCCTCACTGGGCCACAGTTGCCTGATTTAAGAATCCTGGCTGGGCCCTGCAGTGTGATCTAACGTTAAAGGCTCTGTGCTGAACAGCCTGTGTCCAGGATTAGAAAACCATATGAAAGGTTAAAGAAAATAGGAACGTTAGAGTTATCCTGCCATTGTGAACAACCTTCAGCCTGCAAGTGAAAGAGTTTGTTCTTAGTTGTACAACAAAGCTTTCTTCCAATGTTTAGTCCTACCCTTGACCTCAGTGTAGATCAATGGTGTCTATTAAATTACCATGTAAAAAAAATTAAGGAGAGGCAGAAAGCGAATTTTATGAAAAGTAGCTTTAGCAGTTCATGCTTAGAATGGAATTACCAATGTGCTAGCTTATGTTATTTTCAGTGTAGGAGAAAAATCACTTAAGTTTTTCTAAGTGCACATGAAATGTTGAAATTTGGCTATTGATAATATTATTTCCTTCTCAGTATTTCCCTGGTTCTATTTGACCTGAAATCAATAGGAATTGTAATTTCAAAATGCTATTTTTGCACATTCATATTCAGTGTTAATCCAAATTTTCAAAAGGGAAATTCTGTTTTAGGATCATTGTTACAACTGCCTTTCATAGATTATTGCTAACTCAAGACTGAGACTCTTAGTTTATTGTTAATTTTAGTTTACTAGTAATTTAAACCAACAATTAAAATCAGGCAAATATATGGTGAATATTATTATTATCTTTATTCTGAGGTGATTGTAGTATTATGTTGTAATATTTATAAAAGGCATGAGATTTCTTTATTTTAAAGATAGCTTTCAAAAATTGTTGTCTTGTCTTTTTCTGAATGTTGAAGTCCCTGTAAATTTTCAGATTTTTGTTTGGTTTAGTGTTGAGTTTGAACTAAGAAGTAATCAAGCCTTCCATTTGGAAAAACAATTTTAAGATTTTGTGTCGACTTTAGCTGGACAAATAGATATGAAATTATTTATTTTCTCTGGTGGTTTCAGTCAGAGCTGGTTGTTTTTCAGATGCAATTGCAATTTTTAGTTTTTTTGTGTCAATTTAAAAACAAACAAACAAACAAAAGATGCAGCCAATCAAACAAAAAAGCTTCCTTTTCTTCCAAACCAAATGACCTGCTTTCAGCCCATGCTCAGATCAGGATTTATTTCAGGAAATGACAGTTTCTCTGGGGTTGGGACCAGCTATCACATGGCCCCTTTCATTTTCACCCCACTATTGGTTTCCTTGTGTTTCCAAATAATTCCAAAGTTCTTAATTGCAGGAGCCTGCCTTTATGTCGATGTAGCCTCTGGACCTAGTTTTACTGGACACAAGGGATTAATCTGTGGATGGTTAATAAAAGATCTGTAGAACTGCTCAGGCTCCTAAAACTGGGAGGCAGATGTGGGGAGTTATCTTTACCCCTCATTTCATGTCGCAGATAGCCTTGACATTAGTTGGAACGTGCTGAGTTCCAGCTGCAGCTTCCCTGGAGATGCCAGCTAGAAATTGGGTGAGGAAAGGGATTCACGGAAGTGGTAAAACAATTACAGATTATCGAGTGACATTTGATTAGGCAGAAGTACTGTGATAAGTATGGAAACTAAACTCAAATCTAAAAAAAATGAGTGTCCATTGACATTAATATTGGAGAAACCAAGAACATTTACAACACATCATAGCATTAAGCAAATATATACCTGCATTGTATGCTTGTGTGTGTGGGATTTTATCACCTCTGTTGATTGGATAATCATATCTCCATGAAAACAGGCTTGAGGAGCAGAGACCAACCTGTGTTCATATAACAAGAAACTGGTGGCACCATAAGATTTATTGCTAAATATATTTAATTGCAAAACTGTATTTTCTGTTTCTTCTTTACTTTATTTGGCTAGTTTTAAATTTTCAATTTTTTTTCTCACCTTAAATATTAACCTGTCAGGCCTACTCTGTAAGAAAAATATTAAGCACTATTGTTTAACGCGCATTTTGCTAAATATAAAAGTAAGAAAGTACCAGTAACATCAAACTGAATTTATATACATTGCAAACATGTCTAAAACCTGTAATTCTCTGGGAATGTCTACCAAAAGGAGACATTGGATATTTTACAAATGGGTCTTGAAAATGTGTAAATATGCTCTGTGTCTTATGTTTATTGGTATTTATATTAGATTATAAAATAGATTATCTTAAAGTTTTTCATCTTTTCATTTTTTTAATTTAAATGTAAGAATAAGGCTCTGGATTCATGAAGGCTCAGCCTTGCTAGGCAAAGTGAAAGCAGAAGCAAAATAAGAGGCTTTGTTAAACTCTCTGAACTGTTCTGTTTAGCTTTCAGAGAAAGCCAATCCCTAAAAATATCAAAATCAAGTATTAATTTAATTAAGGATGGAGTTTCAAGGAGGTAGAAAATCTCTTAAATACATATATCTTATCTTCTACAGAGCCTCAATTTTTAGATGTCATGAAATTTGTAATGCTTTCTAAAATAGATTTACCAAGCAATATAAACTACATTTTGTGGATAGGACATCAATTTACCAGTACTAAAGCCACTTTTTTTCTTGTACAAAGCTTACTTCAGAACAAGAATCTTAAAAAAGACATTCTTCCCTCATCTACCAGCAAATCTTCATGCTCTGAGAACCCAATTTGGAAAGCTTCTGATCTGGCACTCAATAGACTGTTCATGAAGGAGGCCACCACGCAACTGCATAGTGAAGCATGATGATTTATGAACAAGCTGGAGCTCCCTGCTTCACCAAATAATCAGGCATGAAGGTGTTTTAGGGACAAACTTAGAAAAATTTTTAGAATCTTAGTCAATCCAAGATCTCTTCCTGTTCAGTGTAAGACATGCCAGTGCCATTCAATTATTAAAATTCTAACTCTGAGTTATAATGTAAGTGGAAGCATAAACTTATTTGGAATAAATGAATAATCCACCTAAACAAGATGCTATTGCCATTCACTTTGAAAAATATGCCAAATATGCTTGTTAATGCTTTCCATCCTCAGTTTTCTCGGTAAGTGGCCAAATCCTTCCTGAGCTCCTCTGTGTAACCTCCATACAAATTATACTACTGCAAATGCTTCCCCAATCTCTTTGTGTATTGACTTTCCCATTTATTCATTTGTTTATTTACTTATTAATTTTGAATTGTTCTGGGAAAGGAACCTAGGGCCTCACAGAGACTGAGACTTTCACCAATGAACTGAACTTTCTCGTTCTTTTTTTACACTGTTTTGTTATTTGTCATTCAGATTTCAAAGACTACCATTTATATTTGTTTTACTATATGGCCCCTTATTTTTTAATCAGCCATATTTCACATGATTTTCTTGATGAGATCATTTTCCTCTTATGTCAGATTGAAGTATCTCCATCTTTTATCAGTCTGTTACAGAATTTCCATTAGGATCCTTGTGAGCCACATCCTCTCTACTTTTTTGAGGAAATCAACTCTGCCAAGTGTGCACACTTTATTTAAATATTCAAAACCTCAGTGTTTCATTTTCAAAAATATTTCTTCATGGCATTCCTGATTTCATAGCCATTGGGCTGAGATGGTGGCTTAAGGTTACACTTCCAACCAATGAACTCACAAGCAATTAATAAGTTCTAATTATGAGTAAACAAGAAACAATTTCAGATATTCTAGAATTTTCAACCCATATAATAAACTCTACCAGGAGATAGTGAAAGTGTGCCATCTTTTCTCCATTGGCTTAGCTGCTAACACCCTTTACCATGATTCTTTGCTGTAGAAGACATTGTTTAGTACAATTCTCTTTCCTTTTCTACCTAAGAAATTTACCACATGAAACACACAGTAAAGCACAGTACAGAGAAAAGAACGAAACAGTCTGGAAAGCTCATCTCAGCTCCTTGAGGTTTGCAGGGAATTGAACTTGTCTCCAGTGATGCAAGGCAAGACAGGAATTGTTGGCAACTTTAGGGAGAAACAGCAGACCAAGCCAGCATCACTAACACCAAGTTCAGTATCATCATAAACTTCAAAAGCAGCATGGGGTTTTACGCCACAAGTAACTCCTTCTACACAAAAGGCTAGAGTTAGGGAAGAAATCCAGTGAAGCATCCATCGTATGTGAGAGGGTTTAATCAGGGCCTGTTTTGAAAAGAAGTTAATGGTGTCTGACAGAGGTGCAGAACAACTTCCTTCAGGGTTTCTGGTATTAGTTGACCACAGGGACTGGAGGGGAGCTGGCATCAGAGACAGTCATGGAGAGGGTGTAGGCTAGACATAAACCCCTCAGGAGTTTAAGCTTAGCCCAGGAAGGATTTGGGTGCTGCCCTCCATGGTAAGAAGTAAGGCCTAAATTGTGTGGCTTTCAAAGGTGGCTGGGTCTGAATGTGCTGGCATCAAATCCAGCATTCCACCTGGAGATAATCTCTACTGCCTATGTCCAGCACAGAGATCTATGGTCTGATTGCTTTCCCGGCCTGTCATGCTAGCAAAGTACACCTCAGCTTGGGTGCTTGCCATAGCCTAGGTATAGGGACGGACAGTCCTCTGGAGTAGACAAAGTACACAAACTCACAGGCCATAAAGCTGGGCAGAGAAAACCAGGTGTGGGGGTGATGT